CCAGGATATTTGACCTGCTCTCAGAAATTCAGTCTAGTTGCCCAAGTGTCACACATTAGGGTTTTTTTGTCAAATCAAACATGCATCAATGAAATCTTTGCAGAACTCAGTCCGTTTGATAAATTTCTACAATTTTGGACCACAGTGAAACTAAAACTTGGCCCAGAGGGAAAAATTTAAACCCCATTTCATTCTAAATCATTTTTTTTTTCATTCAGGTCCGTTCAAAACATGCCTAAAACTGGAGATGGAATATAATTGTGAAGTAATTTTTTTTTTTTAGAAATCTGACTGGTTTTCTCAGAGCAGGTCACATCAGTTTGGTTGAGATGTGCACAGACCAAGGACTAATCCTTCTTTTTCTTTGTCATTTGTTGCAGATAATTGATCTGGTCACCTCACGCTGGCGACACACTGACAGACATCCAACTTCTCCAACAAACTGTCTTAGAAGAATCCTACTGCAGCAATGCAACATTTGATCAAAGGTGAGTTGATCATTCTGTGCTTGTAGCTTGTATGCCTTTTCCTGTGAGCCAGAGTTCTTAGTTGTAGGATATAAACATACCGTTGGGAAATCCCCCGGAACCTATAAAAATATGCTAATGTGAGGGCAGACTTTTATGCCACACAAGTTGGAAATACACAAAAAAAACCCAGTCAACTCGGATAATTGATAAGATGTCTAAAAGTTAGTTCAGTGCAAGCAAAGAATCCTGGTTTCCGCAGCCTCTTACTGAGTTATATCAAGTCATGCTTTGTACAATTGTACATTGTGATATTCACAAGTTTGGAATTTCTGAAGCAGTCATATTTGGAAGAAATAGCTGCTGGCCCTAAACACTCATTTAATTTGCCCTCAAAGGAACATGTTACTTAAACTGAACCTCAATTGAAGTTGTTAGCTTGTGTTAAAAAAACCCTAAAATTTGTTGATGTTGTTTTTCTTTTCTTTTTTTCCTGAAGGCTCATGGTCCATGTAGCGCTGACGATGACATTCAAGGATCGTCAGCCATGTGACGTTAGCTGAGTGACTGAAGCACACGGCGCTTAAATGTATTTATTGCATTTTATGATAAAATACATTGTTCAAAGGGAATATACAACATTTGCAAACATCGAAAAATAAAACTACCAAGTTTTTACGAAATACCTTACTAGGATGTTGGTAAATGACAGTCTCAAGCATCTTGTAAAATTATGGCACCTGGTGTGAAGTCATTTTCAAGAAAATAGTATTTTTGTATACATTTCCAACGGTGATCGGCCGACCAGCGTTGGGAAAACCTAACTATTTTTCAACTACTGCTCCAAATTAACCATTTTTTCAGTCCAAATTTTGTTTGCTATTGGTCACATGTTTCGTGAACGGGTACAGGCCAGCTAGACTCGTTCCCGTGCCTTACAATATTCCATCATCTATAAATTGATCCATTTTATCTTTTGTGGAGTCAGGGAACCAGAATACTTAAACATTTTTGTTTTTCTTGGTTTTTCCAACCTTTTCGAACACAAAACTTCAAAAATGTCAGTGTAACAATATTTGATCTATATATACTAACCCCTCAAATAGTTCATTTCTGAAAATTACATCAAAAACAAATGATGTACATTCCTTTTAACTTGAATGTAATAATTTCATAGTCATGTATCTTGTTATAATCCCATTTCATGTTTCAATGCATATACACTTATTTTTGAGGTTTGATCTTAAATTTAAATGTATTTATTCCTTAAACTCGCAAAAGAAACTATCTTCTAGAAAACCAAATATTTTTGTGACAATTACGACAGTTGCATCACAAATCCTAAGTCCATTGATTGTAACCGTAACACAGTCAATTTTTGAAACTTCACAGACTTGCATACTAGTTGCTGTTACTTAACTTGTGGAATGGTTGACTTATCAAAGTTTTAAGCATTGAAGCAAATTTGGTAGTTGAATTATTCAAACTCCTTCAGTAATTTTTGTTACACTTTTTTTTCCTGTTAATTTTTTTGCATGAATTAAATTGTGAAAAGTATTACTTTCATCGTCAACATAAGTATATGTCACAAACACTGCAATTTTTGTTTGTTTTTCGGATTTGCTTCTTGATGGTCAGAAATGTATTGTTAATTTAGGGAAGTATTTTATTTTAAAGTTCAAATAAATGAGTTTTGACAGCATATCTTGTGTTAAATTGCATTTATTTTGTCAGTTTCTTGTTTGTGTTTTAATCCACAATTTAAAAAAAATTAGGGCCTCACAATAACTGTTTGGAGATTAATTAATTTTTGACCCATTCTGTTAAAAGTGCAAGGTTAACCCCTTACTACTTTAATATACATTGGCATTCAAATTTTGGATGTGCTCTGATATAGCTCAGGTTCATACAATTAATGAAATTTAGAAAAGCATCTTGTTCCCCGCCTTCATTTGCATATACTGAACGAAACCCAGAAATTTGCATACTGGTGTTTTTTTTAATGAGCTATTTGAATTTGATGAATATGCGTTAATGAATATTCATGATTGTTTCGCAATGTGTTAACCTAAGGTTTATATATAAGGTCCGAACACAAATTTATCAAGAAGCAGTTGGCTCAGTAGGACGAGCTCAGGATCCGAACCGGGATGTCCCTGGTTCAGGTCCTGGGCCGTCCTGAGGAGCTTTTAGACTTTTTTTAAAATATATACTAAGTTTTCTGACAAAATTGTGCATGGGTGGGACTTGAACCGGGAACCCTTGGGTATGTAGCCTTACACTCTTACCACTACACCACCGGGTTTTTCTTAAAAAAGTAAGGATTCCGGTAATTAAAACCCTTAGGTTGTTCTGACTTAGTCTCCAGAGAGAGTTGGAAGCTGAGGGGTAGAGGCCTTGGGTCTGGGGTAGGAACTTGGGACTTGGGTTTGGGCTGATCAACTCACTGGGGAATTTACTAGCTGGATGGTTGGTACTTAAACTTTGTACTTATACTTTAAACTTAAAACATTTTTTATCTTCCCAATCATGTTTTAAGGGGTGTATTATATTTTTTGGGAATTGAGAATATTAATTTTTCAAGGCATTTCATTAGTGCTTCCAGGACGCCATACCCACTTTTTCATAAGACTGAGTTTATAAGATAAATTTAAAGACGAGTACACAGGAACAAGATTTGTACAATGTTAACATGTTCACGTTGACGTACCATGGTTTGGAATTTATTTCTGCAAAACAGCAGTAAAAAATACATCAATTTACAAACTTTAAATACAGTGCATTTAAATTTAACAATTTCTATTAACACTGTTAAATTTTACCATAATACAGCAAATTAAAGTGTTTTTTTTCTGAAATTTTCCCCGACAATCAATTTAAATAAAAAAAAACTTAAAAACAGTTTGCAGGACATTGATAGCTCATTGTTTGCCAATTTGTTTTGGGTAATTAATTATCAATACATATTTACCTATGACAGTTTTTGAAAATATACAATTTTAAAGTGAACTATTAATAAAAACACTGCCAAAAAATTTCAGTTGTCTATGTTGGTGCTCCCTTCTCATGTCGAGTATTGTGTAAATAATCAAATTATTTTATAGGAACAATAATAAGTCACCGTGTTCCGTGAACAAACAATGCATTCAAATTCAATGTTCATCATTGCATAGTTTCAATAAGCATAAAAAATATAACATGAAGTTTACAGAATTTACAAAATTTACATTGGCGAAAATACTGCTAAATTTTTATTCTAAGCAAAATTTATTTCCTAGGCAAAGGACTTCGTTACTTTTGAATCGAGCTCAAATTGAACCAAATTGTGCAACAAAAAGATTTTAAAAACCACATTTTTAGTAGCATACAGTTTCAATCTAAAAAAGCCACTAAATATGTTTACTCATTTAAAGATGTATTCCCTTGGCTCTAAAAAAAAATATGATTTTGTTTTCTTCCTACAAATTTTGAATTTGTATGTTTTGTTCAATGTCTCATTCAAGATTAATTAACTTTCATAATTTCCAGGAAAATAGAAAGTGAAAAAAAAAAAGTTTCAGGAATCATCTTTAAGTGGCACGACATCGCAATTTCATTAAAATAAGTATTTTACTGTGGATAATATAAAAATATGGATAATAAGCATGGTCATGCAGTTAAAAAATACTGACTTTTAAAATAACATACAGGTTTCTAAAAATTGTCTTTAAAAAGCACTAGTACCCTGCGCAGTGTCCGACTAAAAAGTGAGGAAAATAGCACACAAAATAGTTTGTTTTTAAATCATAGATCGCGTTGCCAGAGGAAATGTAAATGGAAAATGGAAATGTAAAAAATAGAGGGCGCCCTCTTGTGACATGAAGGCACTTTTTTAATTTTTAAAAATTATTTTATAGTTACTTAGGCCAAGTAAAAAACCCAACAATTGATCACCCAGCCAGCTTACTTTCTTGAGGCTGCATCAATTTTTCTTTTTTTTTTTAAATTTCAGGCACAACACAATTTTTTAAAGATGCTTCAGAAGTTCAGATGCTTCTAATAGTTTTGCTAACGTTCAAAAAGCACTTTAAGAAGGTTTTGTGGTCATCAAGTAGTAGACAACTACCCAGAACTATCAAACAAAAAGGGCCTCCTCCTTTTTAAGGCACGTATTGTGTAAGCTAAATATGGCAATTTTAGCAATTTTTTTTTAGTAAAAACAAAAAAAAATAAAAAGGCCCTTAGGCCCCCCCCCCAAAAGTCTCCGGTTTCTGGTATGCATGCGCGTCGCCGTAGCCATGCGCGTCGGCAAAATGAAAAAGTTTTTTTTTCAATGAAAGATGATGTCTCAAAACCGCCAAACTCACTGGTTTGACTGGAATCCTGCTGCTGTACAATTTTAACGTGTTTTTAGATCGGGGTATGGTCGAGAATAAGCTTTATGTGGCCTCTCTGGACTCCCATATATTTGCACTAAGTTTAGTCAGGCACCATTTGCAGTCATCAGCTGACATTTGAAGCAAAAAAATCAGGTAAAAAAAAAAAAAAGCCGAGTCGCCGCACCACTGTTTGGGCAAGCTCCATACCAGAAACCGGAGACTTTTTTTTGTGGCCTTATCCCTCCTCTTTTTGAAAAACTCGGCTGATCAACTGGTAAGTTTTTTTTTTTCACATGGCCTTACAGATCAATTTGTTTCTGAGGTAGAACCACATTAGCCCACAGTCGCACAAGTTCTTAAAGTTGGGGCGCGCATTCACTAACAAGCGGTGGCACTTTTTTTGGCCATTTTCGTGAGTTCCAGTGGAGGGTCACATCGCATGCGTTTTCAGGTTTTGCACGTACTATGCGAAGTACGCATGACTGATTCTATTCCAAATATGCACGTATTACGCGAAGTACGCACGACTGATTCTATTCTAAATCTGCACGTATTACACGAAGTACGCACGACTGATTCTATTCTAAATATGCACGTATTACGCGAAGTACGCACGACTGATTCTATTCTAAATATGCACGTATTACGCGAAGTACGCACGACTGATTCTCTTCTTAATATGCAAAGAACCAGTACGCGTGAGTGTTTGACACCTTCAGTAATGTATTCAGGAGATCTTCCGAGCGGGTTTCCAGCAACTCTCCCTTTTTAACCGTTGAGGGGGTACTTGAGAGTGCATACACATGTACGTCAAAGGATCAATGAGTGGGGTATAAGACTTGCGCGCGAGCATGGTTCCACCTCCGTAACGGCTTAAAGAACAATTTAAAAATGCTAAAATTTGTTTTGTAATCGCAATTATTATCCTGAATCTATTTGCATTTCTTTGATTGTATTTTACCAAAAATAAATACTGTAATGTAAAAACAAATTACTGTTATTGGCTGGACCAAGCTCCTGGGTCTTTTTTCTTAATTCTTACTTTTGGTTGACCTTTTGCAGAGGTCAATCTTCGTCGTCTTGGAATGGATCTTTGAGATGGTTGACGTCTCCGTCGTGGTAGAGAGATTCCGTCTCATCCTCCTTGTCGTTGATGAGTTTCTGCATCTCTTCACGCTGCTTCCGTCGGAAGAAACCACACTTGAAAAGGAACACAAAATTGATAACTGAGCTTAGTTTGTGCAGTAGTGCTGTTCTCAATATACATCTGGAGATTCCAATGTCAAGAACTATCGGCCTGAAATACTGTCTGCTCACTTGCATTTCTGCAATCTGATTGGTTTAGCCTCTGTAACATCACTTGAAATTTTGACAAATGGTCCAGTGAATTTGTTGCACATTTTTACTGCATCACTGTGGACGCTAATATGCAACCGACATTTTTTGTAAATGGCCTGTCTGGGTTCGAATCCAGCCCAGAAATCAATGAGGATTGGGTTTTTCAGCTACTACTCAGATGAAGCGTTTTTTTTTTTTTACAGAATTCTCATAACCGTTTTGAGGTTTCTCTCCAATGAGTAAGACGGTCTCACATAAAATAGCTCGGGGCTACATTGTAGTATAGCAACGAAAGGTTTTCTTTTGAGATCTCGACCGATCAAAGTGAATAAATAGTGACTACAAAAACTGTACTTTTTCTGTCATTACCATATGCATTATCCCAACAATGTTATTGTTGACTAATATGCAAGTGCACACACTCTCCAATCAGACTGTGTGTGTGTCCCCCTCAATTGTGCATGCGCAAACCCAATAGAATCTTCTGATTCTTACCTTCCACATGCCCAGGATCACAACAAGCAAGAGCATGATCCCTGCCAGTATGCCGACAGCAAGCACCCATGTGGGAACGTTCTTCGTCGTCACTGATGACTCTGTGAAAGCTACCGTTTGAATCTGGAAAAGCAAGAATAAATAACCAAATTAACATCAAAACTTTCAAATGGAGAAGATACTAAAGTCTTATTTTTCCCATAAAAATCAGCAGTTTTCAATTGGATCTGTTCACTGAACTGTTTCAACTTTCATTGTTAAATTAAAAAGAATTAAATCTAATCTAAGTGCCTTTTGGCGTTGTATGCAAGTCAGTCACAAGTCAATCACAAGTCAATCACAAGTCACTCACAAGTCAGTCACAAGTCAATCGCAAGTCAGTCGCAAGTCAATCACAAGTCAGTCACAAGTCAATCACAAGTCAGTCGCAAGTCAGTCGCAAGTCAATCACAAGTCAATCACAAGTCAGTCGCAAGTCAATCACAAGTCAATCACAAGTCAATCACAAGTCAATCACAAGTCAATCACAAGTCAATCACAAGTCAATCACAAGTCAATCACAAGTCACTCACAAGTCAGTCACAATTCAGTCACAATCCAGGCACAAGTCAGTCACAAGTCAATCACAAGTCAGTCGCAAGTCAGTCGCAAGTCAATCACAAGTCAATCACAAGTCAGTCGCAAGTCAATCACAAGTCAATCACAAGTCCATCACAAGTCCATCACAAGTCCATCACAATTCAGTCACAATTCAGTCACAATTCAGTCACAATTCAGTCACAATTCAGTCACAATTCAGTCACAATCCAGGCACAAGTCAGTCACAAATCCATCACAAGTCAGTCACAATTCAGTCACAAGTCCATCTCAAGTCCATCACAAGTCAAATCACTAGTTTTGTCATGATCAACAGGGGATAAACAATGGCACAGACATGCCTTTATCACTCCTCATTTTACTAGTTTGCCAACTGACTGGAGTGGATGATCGGTGCTTTACTTTCATGGCCTTGTTACTCACTTGTGATACTGCATGACGACTTGTGCAAAATTGTGATAACTTGAGATGGACTTGACTTGTGATGCAAGTTTTCTCAAGAGTTTATGTCTGATAACTTTGATTCATCTTACCACTATACTGTCTGGCCGGCCGTCGGGAGGCTGTACGTGAGCGCTGTTATGGTTCTCCACTCTGACTCTGGCTAGACTGCGAAGCTTGATGGTGTCGTATCCAGACTAAAAACAACAAGTAAAACAATCGTTTTGTTTCACAAATCAAGTCAAAACAAGATCAAGTTCCTTCCAAAGAAAAAAATTGCTACCGGATCTGCCGGTGAAAAGGGAAGGAATCGACTTTGGGCATGGCTTTCTGTCACTGCTGTTTTTTTTCTCAAAAGGGCAACATTTATTATGTGGTGAGGAGAATATGAATTTATTCTTTTCATGATATTCAAGATATAACAGATTGTTCCTTTTCCCTCACAGTCACAAAATAAAGAAGATGGTCCCAAACTGAGACAATAAATAAGTACAAATAAAGTCCGGCTGAAAATGATAGTTCTTAACCAAAAGTTACCTCAATCAGCGTCTTTTCGTAGAACCGCGCCTGGATTTCGATGACTGCGCCCTCGCCCATCTGCAGGTTGTCAATCATGCAGAAGATGGTGGCACACTGGGCAGTCTGACAGTCGACAACTAACGCCTGGACAAAAACAACGACAGAAAACGAAAAACAACGTAAAACTTTACTCATCTACAGGACCTCCTTTGAGAGCTGGATATACTCTAAAGTTTCTTTTGTGCTGGTCCCAGAGGGCCAGCCTATAGTCCTCTTTGCACCCATCCGACTGACTGACTACCGGGCAGTGCTATTGTATAGCATTACCCATAACACATATGAATAAGCTAAATCCAGCCCACTGTGTATACCAGATGCATGAAAAGACTTCCAGTGAAAAGCCGTTCTGAATAAATCAGTTTGGTATCTCGATGAAGTAGTCCATGTCAAAGGTCACTCGGGGTAAAAAATCGCTGACGTGATGATACGTGATGTTACGCAAATGCACGTTCTGCTTGTAACTAACACACGAGCGTCGTGCGCCGTCTCCGTGTGAGTTCATGTGCCTTCGATGAGCCGTTTGATTATCCCGAACGACCCTTGACCCCTATCATTGTGCACATGCCCAGTTGAAATCCCAAACTGGCTCACTGACTAAACAGACTTTTGTGCACTCTCAGACCAGCAAAACTAGACTTGCCTGTCTAGGTTAATGTTGTGTTTCCCATGTCATTTTCTGACTTGCTATTTTTTTAGCAATACAAAAGTTATTTTTGAACGAGACACTGACCCTAAAAATTTGGCCCAAAATTATTGGCTGCCAGACACTAATTCACCTTCTCGAGGGGTAGGCTGGTTCCCGCCCCACAATCAGTATCGATAATGTACGGACCGGAGCCAGTCTGCTCGCAAAGCAGATCCGTTTGTTCCCAAAACAAATTTTTTTTCAGAGGTTTTTTCCCCAGAGTTTTTTTTTTTTCAGAGACGTCTAAAAAGGAAAAAGGGAGGTTTTTTGGTTGGAATAAAACAAGTTGAAAATGTATTAATAAGATGAAAACAAAATTGAATTGAAGACCATGGGGAACGCAACTTAGATCTTAAATGAGAGAATAACATAATCGCTAATCTGACCCTACCTCCCCAGAGCTGAAGAATTGCAAGGAACTACTCTTTGAGTTGGTGGTATTGATGTACGTCTGCAACTCTTTGTGCTGTTGCTGCAGTATGTGGTCGTATTTACACCGTCCTGTGCCTTTTAACTGAAAATCAAACATACAAATCGGCAAACCGTCAATCCCCCTACTGTTTAAACAGTCAAAGACAGTCAACAATCCACTTCCCCTGCCGTGCCTTTTACACAGGCTAGTCACCAACAGTCAGGTCATATGTGCAGCAAACACTGTGACTAGTCAAATTCAGTCCAAAGGCAATAGCAGGAAACTGGTAGCACAGCTGTCTTATCAATCACCTACAGACAAAGCACAGCTGAAGCAAGTTACATAAACAGTCACAGCCAGTCAATCCTGCTTTATGTAGGCTGGGAGCTCTTAACTGTTGAAAACAGTCACTTGACTGATTTTGACTGAAAGGACAACTTGGCACAGAATGTATGTTTGCAGAGGAGGGTTAAGTATCAACATAAGATGTACAATTGCCAAGGCAACCTGTCCCATGTTGGGAATAGTTATTTCAATACTGAACGTCATATTATCAAATTTAATAATTTGAAGAAAAAAAACAAAGTTAGACTGGTACCTCAATCAAGCCCCGATTTTCTCCTTACCTCGATATGTGTGAAGTACAGCAACCAGTCCCCATCCTTTGTCTTCCAGGGCAAGCTGATGTTGACTGTTGTCAGGTATGGGATGGTGCTGGGGCCTAAGTTCCGTGCCTGGCCGAAGTAAAAAAAATTATCAATCCAGGAACACCTGGTCAAAATTCAGAACTAGTGCTTAATGAATTGTGGGCTGTGTGTCCCTGGGCAGGGCACTTTACAATAATCCAGAAACAAATGGGTGTAAACTGACGGAAGAAATAGTTCTTGAATTTGTGGGTTTTTTTTTGCTCAAAAGCACGAATCAAGCTTGATACTCCCAAACGACTCAAGAAGATAGTTTCAGGAATACCTTATTGGCACGATGAGCAGGGGTAATAATGAGGTGGCACTTTTTGAATGATAATAATTATAACGTGTGGTATTTATGAAGCACCTTTGCCAATGGATACAAAGCGCTAATTTTTTCCCAACGAGACAAATTTTATGCAGCTGCTCGAGATCAGCGCAATCTGGTCTCCACCCTCACAGGTACCCATTGTGCTCCTGGGTGGAGAGAGGCAAACATGGTTAAGTGTCTTGCCCAAGAACACAAGCACATTATTCTCCATCGGGTTCAAACCCAGGCGCCATAGCACATGGGTTGAACAAAGTAACGTTTGGACCGCAGTGCTCCCGTTTTTGATTCTCCAAATAAAAAGCCCAACTCACGTCATAGATGTGTTTGAATTTGGGCCCGATGCTGGCTTGGTTGATAGTATCCTGCTCCAAACCTGTCGTGTTCTTCTTGAGGTTTGTGAGGACGTCATCCATTCCGGCTGTCTCGTGCCCGGAGCTCGTCTCTTCTTTCTTCTTCTTTTGGCCAAATATGATTTCAGAGGGATGGGTGACCCTGAAAGAACGACAAGTACTCCAACCATTAAATGTTAGGCTTAACCCTATATAACCCACCTCAATCCTCCAAAATCCTCATGGCGGTTTTAGAGGATTGAGGATGAATGGAGTTTGAGAAACATGAGGATTTTGGAGGATCGAGGATGAATGGTGTTTTAGTACATGAGGATTTTGGAGGATTGAGGATGAATGGTGTTGAAGCACATGAGGATTTTGGAGGATTGAGTATGAATGGTGTTGAAGCACGTGAAGATTTTGGAGGATTGAGGATGAATGGTGTTTAAGTACATGAGGATTTTGGAGGATTGAGGACGAATGGTGTTTAAGAAACGTGAGGATTTTGGAGGATTGAGGATGAATGGTGTTTAAGTACATGAGGATTTTGGAGGATTTAGGATGAATGGTGTTTAAGTACATGAGGATTTTGGAGGATTGAGGATGAACAGTGTTTAAGTACATGAGGATTTTGGAGGATTGAGGATGAATGGTGTTGAAGTACATGAGGATTTTGGAGGATTGAGGATGAATGGTGTTTAAGTACATGACGATTTTGGAGGATTGAGAATGAATGCATTTTTTGAGGCAGGACTGACAGGATTTTGAAGGATTGAGGCAGTGGGTATCTTTCATTTGAACACAAGTGCAACATTTTGGAGGAATTTGGAGGATTGTTCCTAGCAAATACGGCCTAAGGAGTTAGGATTAACCCTCCAACATTATTAGAAAATCTACCAGGAGATTTGTGGGAATTTTGCAGGATTGAGGAAGGTAGAGCCAAGTTACATGTACTATTTCTGTACATGAGGGCTAGATGCACCTTGAAAGTAATAGTGAGTAGGATGGGAAGTTGTGTTTCTCGACTGTGGAGGATTTAAGATGATTTTGAGGGTTGCCGCAGGGATGTGCGTGGACTCCCGACATTTTTGCCTAAAATTGGAGGTATAAAGGAACAAGCTCGATCAATGAATGTGTGTTCATGCACGAGCCACGTGATTGTGCCATGTAATTTCTGGAAGGAGTAGTGTTTTCAGTAAAAAAACCTCAGGTTTTTGACCCCAGTGATCCCATGATGACCTTAGACCCCAGTTTGGTCATGTGACATGTTGGGGCTGGGCTACTGATGCTTTTGACAAAGGTTGGTTGAAATCGGTCAAAATATGTAGGAGCAATAGAAAATGTCAACATTGGTTACCACCTAACGGACTAAGGGAGAGACATGATGATTTGTTGAGCTGCTATCCCGCAGCTACAAAGTACACACACGGTGCAAGGTATTTGTGGGGACCGAAAAATGCTATGGGGACAGCAGAAAGTCCCCATAACTCGGTCCTAATTTGCCTAACAATAAAAAACTTCCCCATAACGCGGTGTATGTCTACCCACACACGTGTGGTGCAAATATGTTATTTACATTTTGAAGAATAAAACCACCTGAGATCAGGCGATTGCCGAATGACTGACATCCCTAGGCTGGGAAGCCTTGAAAGCATCGACAAATTATAACCGATTTCCTCTAAAAATACACCTGTTTCATGGCACAAAATTAATGAATTAATGAATTCTCATATACTTAAAATCATCTGTTTATTATTGAAGCCAAGTTTTTGTAACCTGCAGTGACAGGGACTTATTTAAAAAAGTCAGTTTAAGGTCATCGGGTTTGTCAGCAGTCACACAAGGCCACTCAAGTTCAAAACAAGTTCAATGATAAATTCATCTTTTTTTTGCTGACAGGGACTTATTCAAAATGGCAGTTTAAGGTCATCAGGTTTGTCGGAAGGTCACACAAGGTCAAAGCAAAAGGTCAATGATTAATTCATCCGTCTCCCCTATTGTTGCTGGTTCCCACAAAACCACAACAGTGTAAAAAAAACTGGCCTCGAGCCAAGAATAACCTTGTTATTCTTGGCACTGTGCCAACTAGCTTTCAATAATTTATACAATCGGAACCACGGTGTGTCCACATGTTTAAGACAATACCGTAAGACGCAGGTTTTTTTTATCAGGGAATCTTCTGGTTTCCACCCATTGTGAATGTCCGACAATCGTTTGTTATTTCAGACTTGTGCAGACCAATTTAAAACAACTTGATGCTGCCCTCTTGTTATCAGTCAATGCACTGCGCTTCCTGTACTCTGACTCATCAGTTACGATCTAGTCTTACATGGTTTACACTTTTCTACTGTCATCAACACAAATTTGTCAGTTTAGGCAAAAAAAAAAAAAAATCGGTGTCTGGTCAGACCAAAGTTCCGGAATTGATGCGGCGACGCTTTTTGGGGGGGGGGGGGGGGGTTTCCAAGCTTGAATTGTACAGACAAGGTGGATACTATTTGGCTTTTGTGTGTCCTCATTATACATTGGTGTCCTCCATAATTTGCCTTGGTGCCCTTTATCGTTTGCCTTGGTGCAATTTCCCCATTCCTTGGTGCTCCTTGGTACAAAAATTTGAGGAGGTGCGGCAATAGAGGGCGCTGTTGTAGCTTCCGTGTTAATTTGAAGAAGAAAAAAAGGTTGACGCGCATGATTAAAATCGACGCGCGCGCTGACCAGAGACCGAGGTATTTTTTTTTTGGGCCTTAGTTCTTTTTATGAGTTACCTCTCAGAAGCAATCCATATCTGCTTTCAAACTGAGTTTAGGAATACTGCAACAGTGCCCTACCAAGTGTTGTACAGTCTTCTAATTTTCTAAAAATACTTATCTGTTTCTGTAAACCTTGTCATTTTGCTAGGATTGACACATTAAGCTTATTTTGTTGATTTGTAAATTTCAGGTTAATCCAGACAGCACACAGTTTAACAGCAGTTTCTATTTGTTTTCACGCTTTAGTCGTTTTCAAATTTCTCAAAATATTAGACTGGAGGGTCCTTGTTGTTACATGGAGTGGAAAAATATGAAAAACTATTCGTTTACAAAAAAAAATTATAGTGCAAGTGCACAATAAGCTCTGGCCGTATTGCCAGAAGTCTTGCATGAAAGTCTTGCATGAAATCGTTCAAATTGATCCCTGCCAGAGCTGAAAAAATGCGACGTTGAACAATGCGACGCCGATGGCACATTATGGAACACCATACTTTTTGGTCAATTTTCGAGAACAGACAGACAGAGAGACAGACTGACTGACCACCAAGTGACATGTAGATGCTCCTGCCAGAGCTTAAAAATAACAGGCTCAAAGTAGAGGTGTAAATGAAAGTAACTTCCCAACAACTCCGACCACAACCAGGGGAAGTAGCGTTCAGTGGAAGGAAGTCAGATTGCCAATAACTTCCGGCAGTATTCTGGAAGTCAGTCAGGTCAGCATCAATGCCATAAATGACTCGTCTGTTGCCTGGCCTTGTGAGTCATGTTCGGCTACACAAACCTCTATTATTAGTGCTGGAAACTGTTCAATAACCTTCAATTGTGTGGCTACTACCTGAGTCATACACTGTTAATCACATGAAATATTTGGTCGTGGGATCGAGTCCAACTCCTGTTAAACTTAAACAAGAAGCTCCATATGATCTGGGAAGCTGCGGACTCCTAACAAATTTGTGTTGCACTTTGCGTGGAATGTGTACAGCCGTTGTCTATGAAGGAGATATCGAGAGCTGCTTTGCGGCACGCATGCGGCTGGCTATTGTCCCCCAGATTATCGCCTTTCATTGAGTTGTGGCTGCGCAGAACGTTTGTTACTAACAGACAAACGGAGAGACATGATGATTTGTTGGGCTGCTGTCCGCAGCTTAGCATTTTTCTCGTAAGCGAGTGGAATACACTAAGCATACAGCGTATAAGAGCATGTTGTCAGTGCAAAAACAAATTTTGGCAAACTAAATTTGGAATCTATGGAGATCAAAAGCCCCAAATCCCCCTCTCCCATCCATACTAATGATGTGCAAACCCAACCCGAAACCGAAACCGACCCGACCCGAAACTGACTTCGGGTCGGGTCGGGTCGGTTTGTCCATCTTTTCAGTCGGGTCGGGTCGGTTTCGGTTAGCATTTTCATTTTCGGGTCAGGTCGGGTCGGTTTAGCCATCTTTTGAAAAAAACGAAATAAACCGAAATAAACCAAAACAGTTGAGAAATTCAGGTGATGCAATATTATTGACAGTCACTGTGACCGCAACCCATTGTGGTGTGGCCACTGAGCGCACTATCAAGTTCCCACGGTATTAATTTCTCCAGTCGGATGGGACTGACAGTGAAATAGATACATTGTAAAAGTTTTCATGATACCGCGTGATGATACCATGCATTTGTTCAATAAGCAGAGTTACTCTCGATCAACCAACTGAGTATAACAGAGAGAGAGAGAGACGATGGTTTTGCAAAAGAATTCATGCCACGTGGGTAAGGGCAGGCACAAAAAAGTGATCACTTTGTCCAAGCCAGATATTCGGTTTTGTTCATTTTTTTTTCGGGTCAGGTCGGGTCGGTTTGAGGGAGTTAAGATCGGATTTGGTTCGGATTTTATTGTCCACGCACGAGGCCAATAAACATTAGTTCCACCTACCCGGATATGGTAACGTCCGCCTCTATTTTGACCGGTAGGTTCATCTCCACCATGTTGTTGTACAGTGTGCTGTTGGCTTCTGTGCTTGTCGTCGTGGCTTCTGCTGTGACCTGGATGCTGGTCGTTTCGTTAGTCAGGAACGGAACAAAGAGCTTTACTCTGAAAAAACTCTTTAAGAAAAGAACAAAAGACTACGAGTTTTGTATCAAAATTAACCATTGTAAGTTGCTTCAGCTACACAGATTAAATTAAATAAATTGGGGGGGGGGGTGGTGGTAATCGTCCTCACTCTCCTCAAAACCGGAGAACCCGGAAAAAACCCTCCTAGCACAGGAGAGAATCAACAAACAACTCTACTCACTTAACAACCCGAGCAGGGAATCGAACCCGGGCCACAACGGTGAGAGGCGAGGGCTTTACACACTGCGCCATCCATGCCACCTAAGATCTTAAAGCTATAGTCCATCATTTGCAGCTATCCGAAAAGTAGCTGGCGTACTTATTGTTGAAAAACATACTTGGTTGAAAGATAGTAAGGGGACTAAACTACCTGTGAAATTATTCTTTCTGGCAAGCTGTCATTTTGAAGTAATCAACGAAAGAAGGCATTTCCAACGGTGCGTCTTAAGATGCACCGTTGGAAATTTCCGTTAGTAGTTCGGTTTTTTTATTCGGCGAAGCGCGCGCAAGCATTGGCACGACGTACACGCGCGCGCAGTTGCCATAATTGGTCGGATCAGTGCGCGACATCACGAAGCTGCAATCGGCTCAGTGAGAAGGTGTCTCGGACGCTGAATTCAGGCCCAATTCAAAACATGATTCAGCAACTTTTGATTTGAAATTGAGATCCTAGGATGCTGTTTTTCTCGGAATATACAGCTGAAGCTGAGCTGCAACTTCACCAGGTTAGTTGTTCAGTACCCTTCTTTAGATTTTAAACACTTTTGTTGCTTCAAACGAACAAAATGCACAAATTACGAATGATGGACTATATCTTTAAAACTATTTCAGCGCCGTGGTTTGATTCAAATGAAAACATTCTTACCTTGGAGAAAGCTCTCATGGGGTTATCCACGTCACAGACCACCTTGGCGGTCATGTTCTCTCCTTTTTCCGGCCCGCAGAGAACCAGCGTTTCTTTCCTCTAAAATCAAAACAAACAATTGAAGCAGACATTACCAGAGTATGACAAAAACCCTGATCCGATAAAATGCAAGTAAATTCTTATAAGATGAAATTTTTGCGTCGGGGTGATATAAATCAAATTAGGTTTTGCCCTTCACCGACGTTTAAACACTGTATACTCAGTGCGTTGCCTCCCGAGTGAAAGTTGGAAAAAAATCACTCGGGTGGGACTCGAACCCACGACCTCCTGCTCTCTACTGCAGATGTCTTACCACTCGACCACCGAGCTAACGGGATCGGTTGGCTGATTCGAATCTGATGTAAATTCTTGCCACTTTACGGAGTTTACGGCATAGTTGTGATTACAGACTGGAAGCACAGCCTTGTCAGTGAGGACAGAAAAAGTCTTTGCAGCTTATAAAATGTCAGTCCTTAGATGTTATTCAATTCAAGTTATTAAGAGCGTGTCAGAGCTCAACAGGGCTAGAAACAGCGCCAAAATGCTGACCTTGATCTCTGACTCTATATCTGAGGACGGAGGTATGTATGACTGAGCGATGTGGTCCAATGGTTATGGTGCTCGGCTCATATGCCATGGTAAATGGGATCGAATCCTGACGGGGAACATGGTGCTTGTGTCCTTGGGCAAGACACTTCACTACAATTGCCTCTCTCCATCCATACTTGGCATCCTCACAGGATGCAACTTCACACTTCATTGATTTCGCCTTTTGCTACTTAAGTATTCACTTTCTTAGAGTTTAGGCACTCTCCTGAAGACGGTCAGAGCATACTGACCGGAACGTCGAGTTTATACCTCTGGTTCTTTTCAGAACCATTCTCTTAGTTGAGAAATTATTCGCACATGGTGTTTCCGCAAACCTTTCATTATTCTCTCCATCCAGGGAGTATAAATGGGTACCTGTAAGGGTAGAGACCAGTTTGCCCAGATCACGGCTCCATGGCCCGTTGAACGGGGGTAACAATTGTAAAACGCTTTGAGACCTACCTTTTTTGGAAAGCGCTACATAAACACCACACATTATAACTATAGCTCATTGGAATGTTTATTTCAGGATAGTTTGCGATGACAAACAGGAGACAGAGAGTTTACTCACCCAGTCACTTTCCACTCGGACAAACGTGATGTCCTCGGGATGCGTGACGATGACCTGGGCCAGGTGGGCTTCCTCACCCTGATTGGTCAGTGTGATCTCCACAAACAGGTTCTCTTCGTTGCCGTAGGGTATGTAAGGCGTACCCCTGTGTAAAAAGCAATCGTAGAAATCGTGCAATCCACTGATCAGAGGCTACCAGAAGAATCGATAAGGTTCTTTCATTGAAATTCCTGTATTCTTGCAGCATAAATGTATCTTCTGTTCTGCTGATCCTGAAAGGCCAGCCTATGGGCTCCCTGCGCCAACGAAAGAGGGCGCCCTTTTACCTAGCAACGACGTCCCTTGGGCGGGGCATTTAGCTGGTTGACGCGCACCGTTCCTTGTGCGTGACGTACGTACACCAGGGGATTTGTACTATGTACACGCAGTGGTACACGGTATGGCCGCGCGTCGCGGCAAAATTGCAGTCAGGCAAGATGGCGTCGGTCGGTCACCCCCAACTGTGCTTTCTTTGCCGGGAGGGGGTACTTGTGAACGGAGTGGATAGTGACCTGACTGACTGAACTGACGTGACCTGACCTGAATTGACCTGACCTGACCTGACCTGACCTGACCTGACCTGACCTTACCTGACCTGACCTGAGCTGACCTGACTGAGCATACTGTCCGAAACGTTCAGTTCTCCCGGTTCTTTTCAAAACTTCACAAACTCAGAAAAGATATTGATACATGGTGCTACCGTAAATGTTGATCAGTGACTGAGTATAAAGAGTCCTAAACTGAGCTGTTCGGGTCCAGCTCAACTCGGCAAGTCTTGTTTTGCTTCAGATGAAGGCATGTCTTACCTTTTAGGAAGTAACGTTGCTTGTAACTGGAGATCTGTCTCACAGACAGAGTCTTCCCCACAATTGAAAATGAAGCCAACCTATATATAATAAAAAAACATTGCAAATATGTAAAAAAAAAAAAAAAATTCTCTTGAACTGTTACTAAGATTTTCTATGGTACTGTAGCTCAGAAGCCTTTGAAAAAAAAGACAATTTATCTTTTTTTTAAATTCACTGTATCACTGCACGATCCAAAAATACCTGAGAAATAGGCTTGTCTGGTTTTTGCAAATTTAGGGCTTAGGCGTCTAGAAATCTCACCTGTTTGATAATCTTGCTGGGCGAGTACATATCCAGCATGGGACACAAACCGGTACACTGCGTAACAGGTTGACCAATGGAATTCTCCGTTGTCCTGATGTCAAAGGTCAAACGGAAGGGCAAGGGGCTGAGGTAGTCTTTCATGTTGACCTGTGTTGAGAACAAGAAAAGAAAATTAAAGCTATTATACAGTCCATCATTTGCAGCGTTCCAAAAAGTAATGACGAAATTATTGCTGAAAATCATAATTGGCTTAAAGATAGTAATGGAACTAAACTCCCGATGAAATTATTCTTTCTAGCCAGCTGTCAGTTTGATGAAAACAACGAAAGAAGGCCATTTCCAACGATGCGTCTAAAGATTTCCCTGAGCTGAAACTTCATCAGGTTAGTTGTTAAGCACCCTTCTTTAGATTTTGAGCACTTTTGTTGCTTCAAACGAACATAATGCACAAATTACAAATGATGGACTGTGCCTTTAAGATATTCCAAACGCAAATATATAGAGGAAAGTTTGGCTATTCGGGCAATTCAAGAGTTACGTAATGACCAAATCTTATACAGTAATGATCAAGGAGACTAGGAGTTTTGGGATCATTTCTCTGAATCATTTACCCTTTAGGCACTATAGCGTCTGAAACCCCCTGCCTATTATTCACTGTAACGCCAGAAACCGCCCGAGCTCTGATTTTTCAGTGAATAAGTACACTGTTACACAATGAAGTCCAGGGGCAAATTTCATAGAGCTGCTTAAGCACAAAATTTGCTTAAGCACATAAACGTCTTGCTTAATAAAATCAGGTTACCAGCCAAAACTCCATGCGATTGTTATGCTAAGTAAACAACAGCTAAATACCAGTCACAAGCAATGTACATCACATGGAGTTTTTGGCCGGTAGCCTAATTTTACTAACCAATGTTTTTTCGTGCTTAAGCAAATTTTCTGCTTAAGCAGCTCTATGAAATTGGGCCCAGGTGCTGATGGGTTAATTAAATATCACAGTTAATTGGCTCTGCTACTGATATTACATCTTGTCTTTCACAATGCTGGTACTCCCTATTGGCAAAACAGGAATTCTACTAAAATGGCAGATTACGCATTTTTGCTCATGGTTCTCCGCTGAGTTTTAGTTCCAACCAAACTGCAAGATTTCGTGATATGGTGCCCTAGTTTTGTTCTTCAACATTTTGGTTTGACACAAAACTATTGTTTCTCAATTTCCTACAATACGACACTGGCTTCAGAAGAAAAAAAAAAATCCAAGAAAAATGTTGAGACTCACATCGATATGTGCCTCCCTGTCTTGGCATGTCGGCAGGCCGGCTCTGAGCTGGAGATTCTGGGAGATAGTGCTTCCACGACGGACAGCGTTCTCCACAAAGGTGACGCGACCCGGAAGACCGGTCTGCCTCTTGAGGGTGTCCGCTTCTAAGGTGTAGTTAATGGCTGGAGGGGAGGTTGGGAACCAGACACGAACATTTGAAAACTTCATTTGAAACGACAACTTGGGAAGAAGTTGGATATGTGTGTTTCATACTTCAACAGAAAAACTGGCTAAATTCTGAACAATAGAACATTTTGTGAAACTTTATTAGTAAGATGGGAAATTTGGAACATTTTGTACCGGGAAACTTTGTTGTGTGTCTAATGTTTAGACTTTATACCTTTGAAAGCGATTCAAAAAGAAACTGCTTTTCCTTTCGGGAAATTTAAACATTTTAGCTTACCGACATTTTCTGGCAAGCCCACACCGCTGTACATGAAGCAGGACACCACCCTGACGCAGGGTACCAATCGACCTTCGGACACGCACGTTGTGCGGTTGAGATCGATGGGCGTTCCTTTCACAACGATGGATGCGTGCATCTTAATCACTGGTCGGCTTCTGTTCGGTTAAATAAGAAACAAACAAAAAAATAAAAAATGAAGAAAATCAGATTAAAGGATTTGTTCTAAACCAAACTTTTGAGAGGGTTTTTTGGTATGTGTAGGGTATCAAATGTTAATACACATGAATTTGGGACATTTCTGGATGTTTTTAAAGTTTTTGGAAATGTCTCATGAAAGCGTAATAGATTCAAAGAAACAGGTACAAAATAGGCAAAATGAAGACTTGAATGAATTTTATTTTTAAAATGTGTGGCTTCCTTGACGAATTCAGTACACATTTGATGTGTCCGCCTGAATTTTAATTAAAATGAACCAAAACAATCATTAAATAAATAAATACAGTAACTTTAAACCAAGTTTGTATTTAGTTTTTTTCAAGCTGGTTGGGTAAATCTATCGAGCCAATGGTACGATGGTATCTGAACTTAATCTCTGCAAGTTTTGTAATCATTCTTGGACTAAGTTGTACATGGAAGGTATCACGGATACCGCCATCATTGTGGTCACATGGTAAACTCATGGCAGTATCCATGCACTGGTCTACTGTTCAATTTTATCTTGGGGAAATACTCACAAGTACAAGACAGCCCTGTTGCTCTGGTGAGCTCCAATGAGAAGGTCCGGGTACTGGTTACCATCCATGTCGATACCGCCCGATAGAGCACTGCCAAAGGATTTCAGGTGAGGAGTGAAGGTACGGCCAGATAGCCTCTGTAAGGTCAGGTCAAATGCCAAAGTTCAAAACAAGATTCCAAATGTGGCAACAAACTGGTACAGTAATAGATCGCCGTAGTTACACATTTTTGATCCACTTAAAGAGGTTGTGGAATGCTCGAAGACATTTCCGTCATTTTTCGGGTATATGTAGCCTAAGGTTTGATGAAATAAAAACGACTATTGTTTCTGTCATAAAATGAGAACAAAAGGTACTTTTGAGAGCTGTTTTTCAAGTCCTGTCATGTCTGTTTCGACCCGAATGTGCAATTTGTGTAAAAGTCGTCGTTGCGGGCAGCAAACAAAACACAGTAAATCGTGACGTAATAAACAGGACTCCTGATGCAGAGTAGCATAAACGAGTCCTGTTTATTACGTCACGATTTACTGTGTTTTGTTTGCTGCCCGCAACGACGACTTTTACACAAATTGCACGTTCGGGTCGAAACAGGACCTGAAAAATAGCTCTCAAAAGTACCTTTTGTACTCATTTCATGACAGAAACAAAAGTCGTTTTTATTTCATCACACCTTAGGCTACATATACCCAAAAAAGACGGAAATGTTTTCGAGCATTCCACAACCTCTTTAAAGTATAAATGATTACTTGTCAAGGTAAACTGTTAAACACTGTGGTTACACGTATTTACAGCATACCTGAGCAAAAGTGGTCTTGAGTCCCGTCTCCCCACCGTGATAGATGTACACTGCCCCACTGTTGTCATCTTCAAAGGGTGCACCGATTACTACATCTGTAACATACAATTAGGATCGTCCATGTTATTAGACAGTCATGTCAAAAAGGCTGCAGGCTTTTAATTGAGAAAAAAAGAGATGAAGACGGGAGTTTGAAAAGCCCGTAGAATCTCAGAGCCGTGATGGATGGTACCCTGATTGACCAGCTTATGTTGAGATCCACCGACACAACGACAGCCAGCAACAATCTGCAAAGAATCCGTCGCACAAACTTCAGACTTGACATGAATTCAACTCACCTTTGAAACCGTCCATGTTGAGGTCACCGCCATCAGCGATGGCCGACCCAAACCGGGCATTCACCATGCTGGAGCCAGATAAGGTCTCTGGTAGCTGTCTCATGATGGCCTATAAAGAAAAAAGGTTTTCAAGCTATTGTAGTGTTTTTGTTCTTTTCAATCTGTTTGTTTTTTTCTTGGGGAGGATGGGGTGAGTGGAGGGTTGGGTGGCTCGGAGTGGAGTTTGGAGTGGGGTTAAGGGTGAGGTAGGGTGGGATTTGGGTGGTGGGATTTGGGTAGTGGGATTTGGAGGTGAGGTGGGGCAGGGTTAAGGGTGAAGGGGCATTGGGGTAGGGGTACGGGTGGGGTAGGGGTACGGATGGGGTAGGGGTACGGATGGGGTAGGGTGGGGTGGGATTGTGGTAGGGGTGGGGTTGGGTGGGATTGGGGTAGGGTTAAGGGTGAAGTTGGGGGTAGGGTGGGGTAGGGGTGGGGTGGGATTGTGGTAGGGGTGGGGTTGGGTGGGATTGGGGTAGGGTTAAGGGTGAAGTTGGGGGTAGGGTGGGGTGGGGGTGGGCTGGGATTGGGGTGAAATTGGGAGAGTTTGGATGGGATGGGATTGGGACAGGGGCTGGGGTGGAGTTAGATGAGGATGATTAGGAGTTAAGATGGGGGTGAGGTAGGGGTGGGGTTGGGGTCGGAGGGGGTAGGGTTGAGGTCTGTGTGAGAAGTGGAAATAACCGATATACTTACATTACCGTCATTTATATACATGTAGACTCTGCCTTCGTCCTGATTGACGGAATAGAGTGGGGCTCCGACCAGTAAATCTGTCAAGCCGTCATTGTTCAGGTCCATTCCCCTCACAGCAGCCCCGAAATACGTGCCCATCTAGACAACAGAAAGGATCACATAATGGGAACACTCAAATGAACTACGACATGAAATGTACTTAGTTCACATTAAAAATCAAAAGCCAGTTGAACAAAGAAATTGACTGATAAGCGTGAGAAAAATAACAGAAATGAATACACATTCTACAGCAATATGCAAATTGTGGTCCACACAGGCAAAGGGTATCTGTGTAAATTTGATTAAGAAACAGAAACCCATATCAAACTTTCAATTTTCTTTCCTATAGCAGAATTTCTGAACTGCATAACAACAGAAAAAACTTATTTAATTTAGAAATCAATGTCGACTATAGCCTAATTTTCTCAGGGGTGGGGGGCGGAGGAAAAACATAAAGTTTTGGCTACACGCCAATATAAGCCAAAAGATTGAAATGATTTTGTGCGAGATGCGAAAACTGGTAAGAAGTTTGCAATGTGGAACAAAGAGATGTTGTTTTTGCTGGATGAAACAACAGGAACGGGAAGTTATTTTTTCAGTGTCTCTTCCCCGTCACGGCCCTCTAAAATGCTTTAAATGCAACTTCTAAACTCTAAATTCTGCCCGATCATTTCACTTACCGATTGGCCTTTAATCTGCGTCAGTAAGGTGAAGTCTAGCAGGTCGTAGATGTACACCTTGCCCCTCTGGTAGGCCCTGGGAGCTCCGACGGCGCCCTGGGTCGAAGACCTCGATAGGAAGTGACCCGACGTTACCGCATATCCTTGACAGACACAAATAATAATACAAATTTGCTCCAACATTCTTTCTAAACTCTTATTAACTTCCCGAGGCCATCATAATTTGGGACAAAGAAGTTATTAGAATTTTTGAAAAATGAGGGGAAAATATTTGATTGCCACAAAATCTTAAGAAATATTCTTGTTTTTTTGGGGGGCCACAAAATCTTAAGAAATGTTCTTGTTTTTTTTTTAAGGGGGGGGGGGGGGGGGGGAGGGGGGACATGTCCTCACCCAGAATGTAAAAATATTCGATTGCCACAAAATGTTAAGAAATATTCTCGTTTTTTGGGGGGGGGGGGGGGGGGGGGGAATGTCCTCACCCAGAATTTTTTTTTTTACATAAGCGGATACATGAATCATCATTATTTATACCATTTTCAACCTCTTCCCAAGCCTTGCATCATACCTATATAACTTTCATCCTCCTCCCCAGTTGGGTACCATGTGGTCACATCGGACATTGTCATGGTGTTAGCGTTGTCAATGGATACCACACTTCCTGCAAAACAAGATGTTTATAAAGAATTGTACTCATTCATGGGATGATCATGTCCAGTTTTGGCGAAAAAAGGGCACGATTCAGCTGTAATTAGAAAATGACAAATACTGAGGATGTAGCAATAACTGATGATGATGCATAATGTTTTAATGTAACTATTTCTGGGTTTGGCGAGTAATTTGCAAATCATGGATTTTATGTCATTATCTTGGACTTTGGTGACCAAAACGCCTCACCTCCATCCACCAATCCCAACACTGAATGCCCCATCTTCAAAGCTAAGTATTTCTCATCACAAAATGTAACTTTAAACTCAGTCATACTGCACATTTCAGGACTAAACATGATTCATTCATTAAAAATGCGATCTCATTAGACCAAAGAAATCAAATTGTTCTTCTTCCGATTACACGGCATTTGAAAATAGGAGAGGTAGGTAGGGCATTTTTTTTTTTTTGGCAATTTGTTGTGTGTACAATCATATGGAGGTGTCTGCGTGTAGTCAAGGGTAAAAGGTAGTAATTGATGATTTTCGGGTTTTTTCCCCTCATTTTTCAGCCAAAAAAATAGGGTAGGAGCTGTCAAAATAGGATAACCGGAAGAGAACTATTATTTTTTTGGCTTTATCGATCCCAAAAAGTTCTCAACAAAGCTACATATGTAGTCACCGAATTCTATCGGGTGCTTGCATGATCCCCAGAGGGCGCCAAACACATATTTGTGCAGTCAGTTCAAACACTGACAAAGCTGAGGACACCTTAATTTGAGCAGGCACTTGTACATCTGTGCTCACTTAATCCTATCAGGTGCTTGCACTCTCCCTTGAGGGCGCCAGACACATATCGTTTTGTATCGCACAAGCGCCGGGAGCGGGAATCGTTCTCTCCAGACTAAGACCTACCTCGCCAAGCGAGGGAGCCCACCGCGCCAACCATCAGCGTCTCTCCGTCCGCCGTGTACTCGGCGCTGAAGCCGGCTTGGCACCAGCCATGCCAGGCGATGCCACGGCCATTGGCATCCGATTTAATTTGGATTTCTGCAGATAGAAAAAAGGTTAATTAGAAACTCAATGGGTCAATGAAGTGACTTAGGAACATATTTTTTTGCAACTTTCTACTCCTCTTAAAGCTACAGTCCATCATTTGTAATTTGTGCATTTTGTTCGTTTGAAGCAACAAAAGAGTTCAAAATCTAATGAAGGATACTGAGCAACTAACCTGATGAAGTTTCAGCTAAGCTTCAGCTGTACATTCCGAGAAAAACAGCATTCTAAGATCTCAATTTCAAATCAAAAGTTACTGAATCATGTTTTGAATTGTTTTGAATTGCAGCTATACGCTACGTCGCGCACTGATCCGACGAATTACAACAACCGCGCGCGCGTGTGCGTCGTTCCAATACTTGTGCGCGCTGTGCTGAATAACAAAACGAACTACTAATTTAAATTTTCCTACGGTGCTTCTTAAGAATCACCGTTGGAAATGCCTTCTTTCGTTGATTACTTCAAAATGACAGCTTCCCAGAAAGAATAATTTCACAGGGAGTTTAGTCCCCTTACTATCTTTCAACCAAGTTTGTTTTTCAACAATAATTACGCCAGTTACTTTTCGGATGGCTGCAAATGATGGACTATAGCTTTAAATGCATGAAAAATATGTATCATCCTTTTCTGGTTAATTTTATTAAAAGTGAAATTTGTTATACATTTTAAATTGTCTATACTTTTCTGGACAACTGAGGGCGCTGTTGCTGTGATGTCATTCCAGGAAGACACTGTTCAGTTAGGGTTCTTCTGTTCAAATTGTGAATTGGTAAGGAAAGTTTGCTCACAAGCTTACTGCCACGTTCTGACACAATGACGAATCACCAAAGGAAAGAAAATCTAGGACAGCGAAATATCCAAACTTCTGACAACTTTTGGTGCTGAAACAGCTGTAACACTGAGGTTTCTGCCTGAAATGACATCACATATTTGCTCATGAAAATAGAAATTGTTATGAGCATGAAAACCAAAAAGGCGCTAAAATACCTTTGAAAATGGCAAAACAAAATTTTAAATAGTGTTAAATGGGACACAAAGGTGCATTTCCAAGGATTGCATGAAAAAAATTACATTGCATGGGCCCTTTAACAAATTTACAAAAAAGAAGAAGTATTTTTCGTAAATCAAGCGTTGGAAATGTCGTGGCACGTTTGAAAATCAAAATGAGCTAAATAAAAGAAAAGGAACACACATTTGTCGCGTGCAGAGAGGCATTGATAGTTCGAACACAACTATCAAAGAAGTTTGAATTCTGCAAGTTTCGATTAATCTAATCCTGCAGACGTTTCATGAATGAAAACAGCCAGTGTGGGTTCATCATTCACAAGAAATCAAAGTGAAGAAAACTTCTCGTCAAAAAAATCATGGTTCATTGTGATTCACTATTTTCCAAATATGATATCCTATTTTTGCTTTGTTTGTTGACTTATTTGTTTGATTGACTGACTAAATTGATTGATTTATTTTTGTTTTTGACTACTCAAGTGGTTCAACTGCCATAGGGCTATATCTGGTGTGTATATTCACGTCCCTTATTCAATTCGGTCATACATATGTAAACACTTTTCCTACTCAATCACAGAAACAAAAATTGGACGGGTGTAAAATTCCAGAGCAAAACTGACCCGACAGTATTGGAGCACATATGTTAGGCATTACTACATGACTACATATGGCAACACTTGTCAGAGATTTTATAGTTTATCTCCATCAGTAAAAGTGACCCTAAAAATATCGGGCCCACGACAGTTTCAGCACATTGCACGTTCTGCTTGTGATGTACATGTGCATATCAGGGCTCAATGTTGCAATAAGCAGAAAACATTACTAAGCTAATTTGTGTTTCAAGCACAAATCAGCTCAGAACCAATCAAAGGCATTGCAAGTCACATGACATTTTTGCCAGTAAGCTGTTTTTTTCTCAGGCTGCCCTTAGGTTGACCTTAATTGCGATGACGCAGAACAGTCCGAGTCAGTGACTTTTCAGGATCAAGCTGCGTCTGAGCTACGACCTTCAGGAAAAAACAAATCAGTTGCTGATTTTTTTGCGACCAAAGTTTAACTGCAATCAGTCGGCGCTAAAAAAAAAAAAACATTCGCAAGCGTAGACGAATTTCAACTTCTGCGCCGCGACGGAACGTGTTCCCGACAGGCGGGAATCAATCGCAGTCAACCTATATGTGAAGTTACGACGTCATGCACACATCCGGATCATCTAGATCATTGTGTAGCCTATCAGTGCCTATGCGGCAAAAAAGTTGAATGAACAGATAGCCATGGAAGATCGTTTGGTTATCAACACGGGCACCACCATTTTGAAGACGTCACATGATCACGTCATTACTGAGGAATCGTCGCCGCAACTTGAGTTACATGAGCATGGTTGTGACAGTTTTGTCTCAAGATGACGTCTGTTCTACGAAAATCACACGATTTCGCAGTTTTGTGACCTGAGTATTACTTTTCTGCTTGATGCCAACAGTTCCGCTGGGGCACAAGCAATTTGCAGGGCGACCTGAGGTCCCCTTTTAAGCAAATAATTTCTGCTCTCAGCAAATTTCTGTGCTAAAGTCATTGAAAACAGTGGATTGTATGAACTCTGTAAAAAGGAGAGTCACTGAAGGACGATTCAACAAAATGCGTTACATTCCCACGCAATTATATTCATGAAGACCACCTCTGGCCCCAATATACACAAAACGTTCAGCTACTGCGACCACCCAAAGAATAGAAATTATCCCAACTTCCTTCAATGATACTCAGGTTGTGAGAGATTTATGGGCCCGCAGACATATCCCTTCCCAGATCATAATGGATTTTGAGGTCAATGGGCCACTAGTATAACAATCTGGTCTCTGGAGGTTTATTAAAGGGGAAAAAAGCGGTGCCCTTGGTGCAACTGGCCCGCAACGAGCCCAATTCACTCCGGAAGAGGATGTGCAAGACAAAAACGATGCATTGCTAAAAATACACAAACGCACACAATGCCCGTCATACAGCCTTGCAAGGTCTGTTTTGTAGACCGTCACTTCCAGTTTTTTGTCGGTAAACTAATAATCACAGCTATGCATGATTTGCTTTGAATTTCTCGTAAAAATTGATTTTAATACATTTCATTTCAAGCATGGACAAATATTCGAGACTGCAAAGTAAAAACCGGAAACCTACAACAACTCACTACTGTTCTGCAACATGTTCCATTTGAAGCGAGACATTTATTAAAGCACGACCAGTTTGATATAACTTGATTTCCTTTCCTTTCATTGTAAACAAGGACGATCCCACTAAAAACACCTCCATAAAAAGTGCACCCAAGCACGAATCAACACCTCCGCAAAACCAATAAATTTGATCAATGAAGGACAAAAACCACGGTCCAGTTTTCCGAGCCGGCCTGAAATCTTTGTAGCGACTATGAAAAGTAACTTGGTGTGTGCTTCCGCTGGGCGAGTAACTCAATTACTTGAGTACTAACGAGTAGTTTAAGCAACTCATTGTTGTAATCGTGGTTTTTCATCTACTCGAGTACTGGTCCTGGCGCGAGTAGAAGCAGGTACTCGCGAGTAGCGATTTAGGGTTGAGGGTTCACGGCTTAATACGTCCCCTGCAAACAGGGAATCACTCCCTCCACCTCTCTCTCCCTAGGATTCCATTTGTCAAAAAAGAATTCAAATAAATAACCCAAAACGTCGCACAGTAAGGAAAACGCAGTGCTGAAGAGTGTGGTGTGACTCGCACGCTATTTGCTTCAAGTTACTTCCCATAATTCTAAAGTCATTTTTTGCTTTCATGGGAATTTGGTTAAGTACTAGTGAGTACTCGACTACTCGCGAGTAATTTTTTTTTGTTAGTACTCGAGTACAAATATCCACTACTAGCCCAAGCCTAGTGTGTGCACAGTTGATCACTAGCAAATGCCACATTTTTTTCAGCCCGTAACATCCTTATCTTTCAAGAAACATTTTTTTTAGGGAAAATCCCTGCTTATCTTGGAAAGAAAACTGTTGACACAGGTTAAGAGTTGAAGGCTAAAGGAACTGCAAGAGTAGTTGCTGTATACTGATTAGGCCTCTCGTTCACCTCGCACGCAAAGGTCGCCAACTTGTGTAAAAACAAAAGGCAGTCCTCGCTACCATGAACAGGGGACACAACTTTGGACAGACGGCGGGATGTAAGACTTCCGTAATTAGAACTTCCCCTATCAGTTCCAAGTCTCCGTTCCCCGATTGCTCAGCCCAGTGTTTACAGATTTAAACCAAAGTGACCTCCAGTTTCACAATAGTTACGCACGTTGTGTCCCTCAAAGATATTGCTCATCTACAACTGAGTTTAAAGGAATATACATCATTTGCTTTTGCTGTAATTTTCAGAAATGGATGGAATTGGGGGGTTGGAAATATATAGCAAATGTAGTTACACTGACTTTTTTGAGGTTTTGGGTTCGAAAATGCTATAAAAAACAAGAAAAACAATCATTTTCCTGTAGTCTGGTTCCCTGACTCCATTTAAGAAGAAACAGAGCAGTTTACATATATTGAGGAATTGAAAGGTCAGGGAACCAGTCTAGCTGGCTTGTACCCGTTCATAGGTGTGTAATCGATTACAAACAAGTGCGATGGTCAACTGGGGCCAGTATTTGAAACAAAAAGCCAGTTTTTTCCAACGCTGATCGGCCGATCAGCGTTGGAAATTGATACAAAAATACCACTTTTCTTGAAAATGACAGTATACCAGGTGCCATGATTTTACAGGATGCTTTACACTGTCATTCTCTAACAGTCCAGCAAGGTATTTCAAAATGATTTGGTAGTTTTATTTTTATGATGTTTGCAAATGTTGTATTTTCCCTTTAATAAGGTACTTTATTTAGAAATTTGCAAATAAACCACAAAAGTACACTGACTAGGTGCATCATACTCTTAATTTCACTAAGAAATTGACTGGAGCTATATTTCCCAGGTTTGCAGCATTGCTATTGTTGCTAGCATTGTGAC